TGGGGATCCACCAGCGATCCCGCGCTCAGAATCCCTGGGATCCCTGAGCCCGCACAGGGATCGCGACGTCGGTTGTCAGCAAACCATATGATTTCTCAGGGATCCCAGGGATTCCAGGGATGCGAAGTCACGATCCCTGAGCAGGCTCAGGGATCCCAGGGATTCCAGGGATGCGAAGTCACGATCCCTGTGCAGGCTCAGGGATCCCAGGGATCCCAGGGATTCCCAACCCCCCAAATCTTTGCGAAGTCGCCAGGCCGATTTTGCTGGAGGGTCAGGAATCCCTGGGATCCCTGGGATCCCTGAGCCTGCACAGGGATGGTGACGTCGCATCCCTGGAATCCCTGGGATCCCTGAGCCTGCTCAGGGATCGTGACTTGGCATCCCTGGAATCCCTGGGATCCCTGAGACATCATATGGTTTGCTGACCACCGACGTCGCGATCCCTGAGCAGGCTCAGGGACCCCAGGGATTCTGAGCGCGGGATCGCTGGTGGATCCCCAGGTCGGTTTTGCTGGAGGATTAGGAATCCCTGGGATCCCTGGGATCCCTGAGCCTGCACAGGGATCGTGACTTCGCATCCCTGGAATCCCTGGGATCCCTGAGCCTGCTCAGGGATCGTGACTTGCCATCCTTGGAATCCCTGGGACCCCTGAGAAATCATATGGTTTGCTGGCAACCGGCGCCGCGATCCCTGAGCAGGCTCAGGGGCCCCAGGGATTCTGAGCGCGGGATCGCTGGTGGATCCCCAGGTCGGTTCTGCTGGAGGGTTAGGAATCCCTGGGATCCCTGGGATCCTTGAGCCTGCACAGGGATCGTGACTTCGCATCCCTGGAAGCCCTGGGGTCCCGGAGCCTGCTCAGGGATCATGACTTCGCATCCCTGGAATCCCTGGGATCCCTGAGCCTGCACAGCGATCGTCACTTAGCATCCCTGTGCATCCCTGGAATGCCTGAGAAATCATATGGTTCGTTTATCGTTCTTGTTAGCGCTGCCGCTGATATCTGATACCTGTTCTCCCAAAGGCGGGGGAATCGGACGCTTGCATCTTCTGAGGTTGAGGAGGAGGAGGAGGAGATTGAGGAGGAGAAGGAGGAGGAGGATGGACGAGGTGAAAAAGGGGAAGGAGAAGCAGGATCAAGTGGTTGGCTCTCCAGATGACGTTCATTGTTCGACGCCGCCGTCTCAGGGCGAGAGCCGAATCTGGCAGTAAAGAAGATGCGACTGCGATCAGCGCGAACCGCGATGAAACTCAGTGGGTGCTGGGGGGGGGGGGGGGGGGGGCGGCATATATATAATATATATATATATATATATATATATATATATATATGTTGGTTCTGATGCGGAAAAAAAAAAAGAGAACGCCAAACAACAAACACAACTGCGGAAATCTGCTCGGAAAATACCTCCCCAATGATTTATATTTATATATATTCATATATATATGTATGTATCTATATATATATATATATATAGTGTGTTGTGGTTTTCCTTGGGTATGTTTTTGGTTTTGCGCTGAAAAAACAAAAAGACATTATTGTCGTTGGTTTCTGGATGGAAAAATCAAAACAGAAAAACACAATTTTGTTGGTTGGTTTTGGTTTCTGTAATGAACAACCAAAAACAACCTAAGGAAAACAAAAGAAATGAAGACGTATTTCCAGGTTCCCCCTGGGATTGTTTTTGTTTTGTTTGATGTTCCGTGTGCTTCTTATTCTTTAATATACCAAAAGATATCATATTCATTCAGAGCGGGGGTAATTTTTCCAGTTCGCACATTGCGTCATGTCCCAGAAAGCATCCCCCCCCCCCCCCCCTCCCCACGCAGACACATGCCGTTCGAGTGATCATTTCATACGCATTTTCCGTAAGCTTTTCTCTCGAGCTGAAATCTATGAGCGGCCAGCGATCACAACTCACGATCGTGGCCAGCGCTCGCATCTCCAGAGCCGACAGCTTCGCGCGGTTCCTCTCGGTGACACATGATCGTGGCATCACCTTTGAGGAGGCGATCGTGCGCGCGAAGGACGAGAAGCGCAGCCCGCTCTTGTCCCAGCCGATCGCGAAGAACCTCATGCCTGAGGACGTCGGGCCCGACCAGACGTGGCTGGGCAACCCTCCGATGATCCCCGCTGTAGGTTCGACCAAGCTCGCTCAGTGGGTGAATTTCGCGCATCCCCACGAGGGCCCACGCCCGCGCCTAGAGGGGGGCCAACCTGAGCAAAGAATGACAAATATGAAGGAGCTAGAAAGGATTGCCACGTCCAACTGCTACGAGGACTACCCTGATAATATGAGGCCTGCCAACAAGAGCGACCTGCCCTACACGATGCAAGCGTTCATCGCGAAGAATCCTGACAACGCGCGCAGCCTGCTCAAGCTGTTCACGATGGAGATGGATAAGAAGATCAAGTACAGCGATGCATGTCAGATGCGCCGCCCATCGATGTACAGGGCGAACTACGGCAAGCGCTTCAGAGATGGATCCAGAGCGCGGCAATATCAACTTGAACGGTTGCCAGGCCTCCAGGTGAGATACTATGCGGCGGTGGGCTCGAGCGCTCCGAAGCGGCCCACGGATGTGGACTCGAAACGCAAGGGCTTCGGCTACATCAAGGAGCACGGGCCGAAGAGCAACATGGACAACGCTGCACTGGAGTTCGCAGAGATGGCCTGCGATGACCCCGAGTCGCCGACCTGCGGCCCGCCGAAGTCTCTCGTGGAACGTTCGCGCCTCAACCACGGGAAGTCCGCGGCTGCCGCCCAGAAGCAGACGCTCAAGCACCTCGCGCTCTGGGACATGAGGGGGTGGTTCTTGATGTGCGTGCTGGCGCCGATCTTGGGCTCTGGGCGGAGGAAGTTTTTCATTTTCCTTAGCGAATCTGGCTTCGGGAAGAGCCCGCTGGGAAAGGTTCTGGCCATGCTGTTCTCCATGTGGCACATCGAGAACGAAAGCGCGAACGAGGAGCCTGGCTTTCGCCTCGGCAATTCGTTCGACCATCTCCGGCACGAAGTGGCATGCGCGAAGTACCGGAAGTCTTCGACGACGGCGATTTGGAGCAGCAGGACCAGGCCAAGCTCAAGGCGTTCAACGACAACACCGAGAGGGAAGCCCGCACGGTTGAAAAATATACTACGACCTGCTTCATAGGACAGACTGCCCGCATCACTGCGAACAACGCCTACGACGAGAGCGCCCTGCCAACGGATGCCTAGCTCGCGGTGGCCTCGCCCGTGGCCACGGCGAAGCAGTTCTAAGATATTTGAATCGTTTGCAGAATCATTAAAGGAAACTTTCAAATGTGGCAGGCATTGGTGTATTCAGGCCAGTACACATTCTTCTTTGGATATTCATTGCATATGATGCTGAGATTGACGTACCGGACGAAATGCTATACGATTTAGCAGGTCCAAATGTCAGACTGATGGAAAAGATGTGTCAAAATGCTGGATTTACTTATAAACGGCTATATAGAAAAAAAGGTAAAGGAAGAGCTGCCGCATATGGAACCAATCGAATATGAAGTCTGGACGTGCGAAATCGTTAACTTCATTTTTCTCTTGAATATGCAGAAACAGCCAAGCTTGTGTTATCGCTCATTGAAAAGGAAGAATTGGTTAAGCCAGAAAGACGGCTAACCAAATAGTGGGAGATTGAGTATATTACGATTGCAACAACTATGATACTATTCTCACGCAGTTTGACTTGTGCACTTGAGACTCTGCTGATGCATTGACAAAGCGCCGTGTACAAATATATTGCTCCCATGTAGCAGATATTATATGCAGATGGCTGATGCCATTCCGCCAGCCCTCAGATTCTTAGAATTTGCGATATGTAGCATTTCCTTGTGGAAATGGTAAACAAGAGAATCTTTTAAAAATACTATTTGTGCGACCTTCTGTACTTAATGAAAGTATGTGTTTTTTTTGTTTCAAACGTTGGAATTATGGTAAAAACGTGTTTCTTCATCGGTTCTCTAATTGCGAATTATATGGCACTTCCTAACGAAAGTGATAAGCAAGAGAATTTTTCAAACAAATACTATGCGTGTCGTGTCCATCTGTTTTTGATGAAAATGATTGGTGTCCTGTTTGAAACCACAGAATAGCGGTAAAAACGCAATGCTTTATCGATTCTCTAAGTGCGAAATATAGCATTTTCTTGATGTTAGCACAATCGAAAACTTGGAAACCGATGATTGTTTAATTCATTCTGCGATTTAATCTAAAATGATTGTTTGGTTGTTTTATGTTTTACGTTGTTGTTTTTTTTCTGCCGTGCGCTTTGCAAAAACATGAGCAACACACGGTGTGTTTGGATGGGTTTCTATACAAAGTGGTAGCTTCCCCTCGGTGGAACGTTAATGTTTGACACTGTGCGGTCTGCAAAAACCAGGCCGCACAGCGATCCCCTCCCTCCATATATATATATATATATATATGTATATATGGGTATAGTATACCTATATATATAGGGCCGATGTATTAGACAAAAAACGGTCTCAGTCAGACATGTTCTAAGAATATGCTGTGCAAGCTACAAGCGGATATTATAATATTCTCTGGTGCCCCAAAAAGAAGGCCAGGCCGCTTCGCCACCGCTTGAACCTCTGTTGGCTGGAACCAGTGCTGGGCTACCTCAGCACCAAAGCAGGTTCCAGCTTCCAACCAGCGGCGAGCGAAGGGGAGAAGTGAAAAGGGGGCGGGCCTTCTCAGAGGGCTCGGAAGTTCCCGCGGCCTTCTGAGAAGTTTCCTGGAAGCCTTCCCTGAAGACGGAGGACACTCATCAGAAGGCGCGAGGGCTTCCGAGAAGTCCCGCCGCCTTCTGAGAAGGGCCTTCTCTTTCTCATTCCCCCCCTCGCTCGCCGCCGATCCAACCTCGCATCGTTCCCAGACTATGTTTTTACCATCTTTGTATACTCCTCCTGTGGAGGGACGCGTGCCCGACTTAAGACGACGAGCGACGGACGGACGGCGGAACACCACCGACGAGCCTCGCGGCGCTCGCAGTCCAGCAGCACGCCCACCGCGTCCCCCTGCCCGAAGCGCGCCCCTGGCGCGACTCTGGCCTCGCCGCCCCGCGCGCGCGCGGGCGGCGAGCCGACGACGAACGGCGACTGCGGCGGACGACGGCGAGGAGCAGCGACGAGCGGCGACGACGACGGCGACCCACGAACGACGACGAACGAGCCGGCCAACGGCTGGCGGCGATGATGACGAGCGACGAAGGCGACGAAGACGGCGGCGTCGAGGCACGGCGGCGGCAACGTCGAGACGACGCGACGACGACGACGACGACGCGAGCGACGACGGAGACCGACGCCAACCAGAGGACGGAAGCACGGACGACGACCAGGTGGGCGTCGTCGCCGCCCGCGGCGGCGGCGAGACCACGACGAAACGACGGATCATCTTTGGTGTCCGTTCCATGGGAGCTTGCGTGGCCCCCGGCGCTGTCCGATGTGGGCCTGATTTGGACCGGATTTGGAACACATGTGGACCAGATTTGGACCAGACTTGGAATGGATTCGCGGGGACTAGAAGAACGAGGAGGAGGGGGGGAACAGGAGGGGAGAGGAGGAGCGAGAGGATGGGCCAACTGCGGCCCCGACGCGGTCCAAATGCAGGAAAAGCTGACTTCAGCGTCGCCGCCCAGGGCTCCCAGGAACAGACATCGATCGGATCGCCTCGCCACCGCGCAGCAGCGAACCGCCCGAGAAGAGCGACAGGCCGTCCACGGCGTCCGGGGCGCCGGGGGGGGGCCCGGCGAGCGCGGGGAGAGCGGCGGGAGGCCCTTTTCGCGCGGGGCTCGGCTCAAGTCGGGCCTGTTCTCCTGCAGAGGGACTTTTGATGAGAAATAAGAAATACCCCAAGAGTGCCCCCCAACGGTCAAAAATGCTGGAAGAATCGTCCCCAGACTATTTCACTTTGTTGAGGGACAGGCCCACTGATCGTTTCACCAGACTATTTCACTATCGTCCCCAAAATATTTTTTTGGATACTCCACCCTGTTGAGGGACAGGCCCGACTTCAGGCTCGGCGCGGAGGGTGGCGCCAGGCGTGCCGCGTCTGGTCCGCGGGGGCCCGCGGGGCACGACTTACTCGGGTGCGACGTTGCTCCCCGGATCCCCCGGTTCCGCCCAAAAAAAGGGGCCGCAAAGAATGGCACGGAAAGACTTACGGAAAGACCCTGGGATACACTCCAGAGGATCTACTCGGCGACGCACCGCTACCCAGGCCGGAGGCGCCCCCCCCACTGTATGTATCATCTCGGGGTGGGGCCCACGACTCCTGGTCCATCCCCAAGCCCCACGAAGCCTGGGATAGGGTTCGGCGACACGTAAGAGACCCTAGACAAGAATGCCCTTTGGTGCACAGCCTTAGGGGGCCCCGGGGGGGCCTGGAGCAACCGCGCAAGCCGAGGCCGTCGGATTGCATCAACGATCGGTGGGGCGCCCTTCGACAGACCCCTAGCGCCAGCAGGCAATTGCGGACTTCCGCCAATTCGTTCCGGGCGCCCCAGAACACCCGCCCCAGGGCTCTGCGAAACCATACGTAATCGGGCGCCACCGCGGAATGTTCTGGCACTGCCGGGCCGCATCGCGATGACGTCTGACCGGGTCCGTCGTCAAGGCCAAAATCGGGCCGAAACTTGGCCCCCCCGCGGCCGCAAAGAACTTTCAATAATCAAGAAATGAATTGTAAAGCGCGGAATGCGAAAAGTGCTTCAAAGTTCGTCAAAGTTATTCCAGGACGATTGGGGGCCAGTCCCAAAGCGGAGAGCACGTCGCCCGCTCGACTGGGCCCCACCTCGCCAAACGAAGCACGCGGCAAAATGCACCGTGCATGCGTTGCGATCGATTGCTAGGGGCGCACCCTGAATCAAGCGCGCTCTGATGCGATCGCAGACTGGTGCAGCGTGCGCCGACACTAGGCCGAGCGCACTCCTCAAGAAAATCTGTCCGACCCCATTCAGGCCAACACGAAAGGTCACTCTGGCCAAGGGTCACTCTTACGTGTAGCCGAAAGATGGACATCCTTGGGCGAGAAGTGGACACGAGTCAGAGCAGACTCAGAACACATCAAAGAAATAAGCAAACCATCGTGCCCCCTGACTATGTCTTTGACTATTCTTGAAGATTGCTCCTTCAGAGGGACAAGCCCGATGTAAGCCTTGGCCCCAGGCCGCGCCCGATTGCCAGATCCCCCCCTCCCGAGCCCAGAGCAGGGGCGCAGTCGTTACGGACGGAAGCGCCCTGGACTGCACACCGCGCAGCGCCGCTCCACGCCGCTCCATGAAGGTCGGAAGCTGGGCGAAGGCTGGCAGACCCGTGGCTGGCTGCCAAAACGGTCTTCCCGGGGGAAACGATACCCAAACTTTCAGAATAAAGAGACAATTTCCCAAGTCTCCGTTTTAGCAGCCACGGGTTTGCCAGCCTTCGCCTGGCTTCTGAGAGGGGGTGGTGCTTCGCGGTTTAGCGCGGTGCTGCACCGCCGTGTAGATCTGGCGAGCTGGGAATCATGACTTGAATACGGGCAAGACACGTAATCGGGGAGCGGGGGGCAGCAAGAGACACGTCAGGGAAGGGGGGGGGCGCTTCGACGTGGATAAAACGTGCTCAGCGTGTTGCGGCGGCGGCACCTCCATCACACAACCGCCTTGTAGAATGATGGCGCGTCGCTCAGCTTCGTGTGAAGGGGCCCCAGGACACACAAATAAATACACACACATAAAAATATGCCCCATATTTTCCTACATTTTCTGGGTTTCTGTCTTCCCCCCCACTTCGCATATTTTCCTATATTTTCTGGGGAATCGAGGATGCATTGTGTCTGTGTGTTTTCCTCTCCTGATCGTGGTGCGGAAAGCTGGGGAACATCTTGCAACGTGGATGCCTGCGGCTGGCCGCGGCGCAGTTCTCGGGGGCGCGCAGACACGGATGAGCGATCCATGGCTTTGGCGCGTGGTCGATCAATGCACGGATCGGGGGAGGTGCCCTCCGCAACATGCGGACGGTGCCACCTCGCGCAGAGGCGGAAGTCCACGATGTCCCATGGAAACGGGGCCCATCGCTAATCCACGCCCGCCTGATCCATGTTTGCGATCGCCTGAAGTTGGCGTGTCGCGCCGAAGCGTCGTGGGCCAGAGCCGCGGCGCGACACGCAGCACAGACGTTCCTGACCACCCGTTCGCGCTAGTATCGACATAACGGAAGGCTGTGCATGTCCTCCTACAGGCGGTTTTTGGAAGGAAAACAGACTATCATCAAAACATGCTCCAATACTTTGTTGTTTGTTTTCCTTCGCGCATGTTGGCAACTATTGAATTGCGGTAGAGCTCGGAATAGGCGAAGGTGAGCAGATAGTCCGTGCCGTCGAGGGCTCTGGCCATCGTGTGACAGAGAGAGTGGAAGAGGGAAGAGTCGGGGACATCAAAACATGCTCCAACATGTTTAACCATGGTAGGAACAATTGTGCCCAGACTATTGCGCGGCCCCCGCAGATCTCGACCCTTTCCCCGAGGCGGGCTTCTCATCCTGGGCCGTTCCCTGACGGTCCCGCAGCCCAGCGAGGGCCCCATGGAGGCCGAAACTTTGGAAAACAAACACGCCTCCTCGATTGTTGTTCAGGATGCGCTGGACCTCTGGGTTATCGCGCACCCCCCAGATGGCGCCACTCCCAGCGACAAGCCTCCCCTCGGCTCGCCGGGCCCTCTGATCGGGTCGGGCGAAAGGGAGGGATAGCAAAGGGGGGGTTTGAGAATCAGCTCGCGTAGCTGATTTTCCCGGCGCCTCCCGGCGCCGGAGGCGGCCATGTATCGAGGAATGGGCCCCTCGGTGAGGCCGAAACCAGCTGCATGCAGCAAATTTCGTAACCCCCCTTTCCCAATCCCCCCCTTTCGCCCGGCCCGATCTGAGCGGGAGGGCGGGGTCGTGCACGAGGCCGACCCACGCGGACGCCGGGGGCGCTGCGTTGGCCCCGCGCCGCCGCGAGGGCCTGCGGGGCCCGGCTGCCGCCGTCGCCGGCGCCGTCGGCGGAGGGAGGGGGACGGGGAGGGGAGGGAAGGAGAGGGAGAGGAAGGAGAGGGAAGGAGAGGGGGGGGAGTAGAGCGAGGGGAAGGAGAGGGAGGGGAAGGAGAGGGAAGGAGAGGGAAGGAGAGGGAAGGAGAGGGAAGGAGAGGGAAGGAGAGGGAAGGAGAGGGAAGGAGAGGGACGGGGAAGGGGAGGGGAGGGAAGGAGAGGGAAAAGGAAGGGAGGGGCAGTCGACGAGTAGGTCTTCGCCGGAAGGATCAAGGAGGATTGCAGTGGAAGCCAGTCCACAAGAAACCTCCCACAAGAAACCCAACCCTGAGACCCCAGGACGACCGTAGATGTTTGGTTTGGGAATGCCACGCTCTCCACACCAAAACCCTCGAAACCCGAGGGAAAGCCAGGGCACCCTGGAGGCAAGCAGTGTGCTTCTTGGCCTGGGTCTCCACTGCAAGTCCCACTGGGGGGCCTCCACGCCGCATCAGACCGCGGATTCGGCGGGACGAAGCCAGATTCACCAAGATGAATGAAGGGGCCCAAGGACACACACACAAATACATACACACAAATAACAGGATCCCCCATACTTTCCTACATTTTCTGGTTTTTGTCTTCCCCCCCCACTTCCCATATGTTCTAATATTTTCCGGGGAATCGGCGATCAATTGTGTCTGTGTACTTTGTTTTCCTCCTGAAGATTTCGGACCAGTGCAAAGTCAGGATTTGACTCCCCAGGAGTTGCATCCGAAGGAAGGGGGGGGAGGGAGAGATGGAGGGGGAGGAGAGGAAGGGGAAGGGGAAGGAGAGAGGAGAGAGAGAGAGAGGAAGGGGAAGAGGATGGTGAAGGAGGAAGGAGAGGGGGAGGAGAGAGGAGAGAGATGGAGGGGGAGGAGAGAGGAGAGAGAGGAAGGGGAGGGAGAGGGGGGGGGAGAGAGAGCTGGAGGGCGATCGCGGGCGAGGGCAGGCACAGAACCAACTGTGGCGGCATCGGGGGCGCCCGTCTCAGGGCGGCGGGAGAGCTCGTACCCAACAGTCGGGGCGTTGACCTAAGGAACCCTAAATAAGGAACGAGGCCCTTTTTTTCCATAAGTTCACCTTCGATTTCCTATCGCAAACATGAGGAACACCTGAGGCAAGCTGCGAAACACTCAAGGAACGCGGAGCCCCTCCCCAACGAAAAGGGTTCCTTCTGCAGGGCTCCGACTGTACCGGTGGCATGTGGGGGAGGAGAGGGAGTTAGGGGGTTCACGCGGGCTCACTGTCGTTTGATTTGCCCTTCGCGCCTTCCTGTGCTCCGCCGTGCCAGCCAAGCGCAATCTGTTCGTCTCTGGCCTGAGCCGGTCTCTTCACTTGTTCCTGGCCTCACGACGCAACGATCACACGATCGATACCCGAACAGCGTCAGAACTTCTGGGGGGGTCTTCGTAAAACGTTTCAGGGCTACTAATAAGTCGGGCCTGTCCCTCTACATGGGGATTTTCGACGAAAAATAAACAATACTCAAAAATACCCCAAAAAGGTCAAAACATACTTTAAAAAATCGTCCCCGTATTATTTGTTTACTATTTTTGAATATTCCCCCTGTAGAGGGACAGGTCCGACTTAAGGCTACTAAGCCCGATTGGGGACCGGTGCGCCGGATCCGTGCCAACCCGCAGGACTGAGCTGGACTCCGCTGGAGGAGCGGTGTTTTGAGCCAGTCTCGGCGGGACTACACGTCGGTCGGAAGAAGTAGGTAAAAACATGAAGTACGAAGGCGGATAAAGTGGGTCCAGGTCCTCCCAGAGAATAACAAGACACAGCAACAGCAAGCCGATTCTTGAAGTAGGAAGGCGCTTGAAGTAGATTGGGATGTGGAAATCCAAAAATACCTACTTTCAACGACCGGCGTGTATGCTAGGTTAGGCGAGTTTCCGACCACGGATAAACCAGCGCCGATGACGAGTTTCACCTCTCGAGAGTTGCATCCTAGAGGGAGAAAAGGAGCGGGAGGGAGGGAGGCACCAAGGGAGGAATCCCACGTGGCAGTGTCGACGACGTGATCATGCTGTCTCGCAGCGTTTGCCGTGGGTGGTTGCCTTGCTGCGAGGTTTGGTAGCATGTGCCCATCCGACATCTCTGCACCATCGAGGATGCTCAGCTGGCTCGATCTCGAATCCGATCTTGACAGGCTCGAGGACAACAAGGTCACCTCCACCATGATGGCCTGGGCGTCGAGCCTGCCCGAGATTCGCGGGCATCTTCTGTCGCGCGTCACCAGGCTGAACGCGACGCATCTGACATCTGCACGATGGGCTGTGCACCTCGCACAACTCTGGGCCGAGGCAGCTAATCACGCAGCAGCAGGGTGCCGCAACTGCTCGAGGATTAAACGTTATGATCGGAGCTCGTCGCAAGAGTGCGGCCACGCGGGTGCTGTGGGCCGGATTGCTTTAGATGTGATGCCCAACACCCCGAATTCATGTGAGGGTCATTTCTGATGTCAGCCAACTCCCTCCGGTGATTGTGTCAGCGGCCACCTCAACTGCATGGCCGTGTGCCGTGCCGTTTCCATCCCTGCAGTCGTGTCTGTGTCGAGCCCTGGCAAGAGCAAGCCGCACTCAAAGCCGTGGCACTCGGGCGGCAATCCCAGGGCATGGTTCGCTCCCTGGGGTAACTTTCATTGCACACTGGGCATGCTCTCCGCTCAGGGAGGGAGAAGAAGGCAGTTCGGGGGGGGGGGCAGGAGAAGGGAGGGGGAGAGGAGGGATCCAGGGAGGGAGGAGGGAAGGGAGAGGGGACGGCGGCAGGGGGGATGGAGGGAGGAGGAGCGGAGAGGGAGGAGGGCGGGAGGAGAGCGGAAGGGAGAGAGGGAGCGAGGGAGGAGAGGAAGGGGAGACATCGGTTGGGGGGGCCCTGGCTGCCTCCGAAGCTGCTCAATGCTAGAACTGATGGCGGCAAGTCTCCCCAAAGTGCACGCCAAGAGAGCCACACTAACAATAGGTTTGGCAGATTCTCCTACAGGCAGGTTTTCGACAAAAAATGAGAGGTTGCCAAAAACATATCCCAGAACTTCAAAAATAATAAAACATCGTCCTCAGACAAGTTTGACTGTGTTTGAATATTCCTCCTGTAGAGGGACATGCTCGACTGAACACTAAGACCCGAACATGCCTCACGTCGGGATCCAGATAGGAAGTTGTATTGGCCGACGTTATCCCACCAGGGAACCAAGAGAGGCCTCAGAACGCCGAGGGCCCCATAGCCCCCCGACGATCCCCGAGATTGCCCCCAAGATGGCACCTGAGATGCCTCCCAGAGGTCTACGCCAGATCCAAGTTAGCCAGTTAGCCTCCCTTCTGTATCGAGGGCGGGGAATTCTCAAGTGGCGGTTTGGGGGAGCATGCCTCGGCAATCCATTTCATTTCGTACTCTCGCCTCGGCGCCGTCGGCGCGCGACGACGACGATGACGATGACGACCATGATTATGACCACGACCACGACAACGGCGACGGCGACAACAGAAACGGCGGCGACGACGACGACGACCACAGCGCATATGGCCGCTCATAGCCCCCAAGGCTACTCATGGCCCCTCCATGACTGCTCGTAGCACCTTCATGGCTGCTCATGGCGGCTCCATGACTGCTCATAGCGCCCCAGGGCCTCCTCGTACGACTTTTCCGAAAGTCAGAGGGCCCCAAGACAAGCCAAGGGGGCCCCAAGAAGCGCCCAAGAGGAAGCGCCCAAGAGGGCCCCAGAGGCCCCCAAGACAGCGATTCTACAGCACAACGAGTGGCGCAACGGTTCCCCTCCGCCTCCCTCCGCTCGACTGTGCGAATAGAGAGGGTACTTGGAGGAGCAAGAACGGCATGAGCACCAACTTTTGGAGTTCCGCGCGGATTTCTCGGATCCGCGCTAGGCCCCCCTGCCTGGCGCGCTCCGCGCGCCAGGGGCGGCGTCGGAGGCGCCGCAGGGCCATGGTGGGGGAGGGGGGGTGGGGTAGAAGTTCGCCTGCTGGCCTGCTGGCCTGCTATCTAGCCTGCTGCGGCGGCGACGGCGATGGTGACGGCGACGGCAACGAACGACGCAGACGACGTCGACGACGACGACGACGACGACGGTCACGACCACGACTACGAACACGACGAGGACCACGACCACGACCACGACCCGACGACGACGTCCACAACGACCACGACCACGATGACGATCACGACGACGACGACGACAACGACGACGACGACGATGACGGCCACGGCCGCGACCACGACGACGACCACGAGGACGACGACGACGACGGCGACGACGACCACGACGGCGACGATGACCACGACCACGACCACGACGAAGACCACGCCCACGACCCTAGCTTGCCTTATC